AAATAAACCATTCACATTAAAAAAAAAAAAAAAAAAGAAAGAAAACATGAGGTCAAGGGCAGTGCCTGTGGCTCAAGGAGTAGGGCATCAGCCCCATATACCTGAGGTGGTGGGTTCAAACCTGGCCCTGTCCAAAAACTGCAACAACAACAACAAAAAAAAAAAAAGAAAGAAAGAAAGAAAGAAAAGAAGACATGAGGTCAGGAGAGGTGCTGACACTCATAATCCTAGCACTCTGGGAGGCTGAGACAGAGGGATTGCTTGAACTCAAGCGTTCAAGACCAGCCTGAGCAAGAAAGAGACTCCGTCTCTACTAAAAAAATACAATAGCTACGCATGGTGGCTTATACCTGTAATCCCAGCACTTGGGAGGTTGACGCAGGTGGAGGTGGATTGCCTAAGACCAGCCCGAGCAAGAGCTAGACCTTGTCTCAAAAAAAAAAAAAAAAAAGCTGGGTGTTGTGGTGGGTACCTGTAGTCCCAAGTACTTGGAAAGCTGAAGCATGAGAATCACTTAAACTCAGGAGTTTGAGATTGCTATGAGCTATGATGCCGTGGCCTTCTAGCAGGGGTGACAAAGTGAGACTCAGTCTCAAAAAAATAAAAATACAGTAAAATTAAATTAAATTAAAAAACTAGCTGGGCGTAGTAGCACATGCCTATAGTCCCAGCTATGTGGGAGGCTGAGGCAAAAGGATTGCTTGAGCCTAAGAGTTTGAGGTTGCTATGAGCTATGATGACACCATGGTACTCTAGCCAGGGTGATAGAGTGAAACATTGTCTTAAAATAAATAAATAAATAAAAATCAAAAACATGTAACAAAACTAAATTGGTTGGGTGCAGTGGCTCATGCCTGAAATCCCAGCGCTTTGGGAGGCCAAGATGGGAGGATCACTTGAGCCCAGAGTTTGAGACCAGCCTGGGCAACATAACAAGACCCCTAAGATTAGCCTGGGACTGTGGTGCACAAGTGTAGTTTCAGCTATTCAATAGGCTAAGGCAGGAGGATTGCTTGACCCTAGGTCTTTGAGGCTACAGTGAGCCATGATCACGCCACTGTACTCCAGCCTGGGTGACAGAAGGAAAACCTGTTTCCAAAATAAAACTGTTGGCTCATGAAACTAGAAAGTCCAGAAAAGAACCTGCAGATTCCCAAAAGCCCTTTCTCCCTTCCCTCCCTCAGGGCTAGCTCTTCAGTAAGTTTAAACTTCTCTAGACTAAAAGAGCCGTTCACTTCAAGCCATTTAGTCCCCTCACAATATCCCAGGGACTGGCTTCCAGCTTGGAATAGAAGAGAAATCACAGAGAACAAAATGAATTAATACATCAAAATAGAATCTTGCCAGACAAGTAACAAAAGCCAACAGGACCAGCTAAAGGAAAAGTGTCTCAGAGAGGCCAAGAGCAGGCTGCAGCCAGGTTCTCCAAAGACTGGAACTTGAACTAGGAATGTAGCAGGAATCAGGGGGCCACCTCTCTCTCCTCTCAGTCTTGCTCTCCCAATCCTGCACCTGCTCTCTCCCTCTGTCCTCACCTACCTCTCAGCCCACAGACAGAAGATGGTCCTCACCTCTCAAGCTTTATGTCATATCCTTTGAGGCTCAGTTCCTAATTCCTAGGAAAGAGATACTGAGTGGGTCAGCTAAGGCCAGGGATCAGGGTCCCACAGGGCAAATGTGCTATGGTATGTGCCTCCTGTGTAAGGGAGACTTTGTGGGTTGCACTAATATCCCAACAGTATCTCTTCCCCCTGTATTAGAATTAGAACCCCCTCCCATGGCATCATCCCTCCCCTGGCTCTTGTCCTCCTACAGAACTGTCCAGGGAATCTGTGAGCCTGCATTGCCTGCCACAGAAAATTGAGGTGCTCCTGAGCAACTGCTTTCTGGAGACTCATCACTGGATCCTGGCTAAAGGTGCCTTCTCAGGATGCTCCAGTGTCAGCAGGATAGACCAGGGGCTCCGTGTCCAGGTTTTCACACTGAAGAAGAAGGAGGGTACCTGTGGACTCCACCTTTCTGTAAGCAAGCTGGGAGGAGCTGCCTGGTGGGGGAATCTGTAGGTAGGGGCAGGAGCTGGGAAAGGAGTGATTGGTCATGACTTTGTTTGTTTGTTTGTTTCATTTTTTTTTGAGACAGAGTCTCACTATGTCACCCTTTGGTAGGGTGCTATGGTGTCACAGTTCGCAGCAACCTCAAACCCTTGGGCTTAAATGGTTCTCTTGTTTCAGCCTCCCAAGAAACTGGGACTATAGGTGCCCGCCACAATGCCTGGCTGTTTTTTTGTTGTAGTAGTCATTGTTGTTTAGCAGCCCTAGGCCAGGTTGAACCCACCGGCCCCAGTGTATGTGGCCACTGTCCTAACCACTGAGCTACAGGCGCTGAGCCATCATGACTTTATTTCTATCAGACTGAGAAAGTCTCTGATCAGTAGTCATGTCTCAGCTATCAGTCCAGTCTTTTTTTTTTTTTTTTTTTTGAGACAGAGTCTCACTTTGTGGCCCTCAGTAGAGTGCTGTGGTGTCACATCTCACAGCAACCTCAAACTCTTGGGCTCAAGCGATTCTCTTGCCTCACCCACTCAGGTAGCTGGCACTACAGGCACCCACCACAATGCCCGGCTACTTTTAGAGATGAGGTCTCACTCTGGTTCAGGCTGGTCTTCAGCCTGTGAGCTCAGGCAATCCACCTGCCTTGGCCTCCCAGAGAGCTAGGATTATAGATGTGAGCCACCGCACCTGGCCCATTCAGTCCAGTCTTTGAAGGAAAAAACCATACTGTTCACCTTCAGACTGGGCATACCCTTGTCGGTGGTACCATGTTTGATGGATTGGGATATTGATTTCCAAACTGTTGTCAGGCACTTTGAATAGTAATAACCACAACCATAAGCAATATTTATTAATTTCTTACCCTGTGCCATTTCTATAGTTCAAATATTTTTATACACATTATTTCATTAGATCTTTTTCTTGTTCTTTCTTTCTTTCTTTTTTTTTTTTTTTTTTTTTGAGACAGATTCTCACCATGTTGCCCTTGGTAAAGTACAGTGGTGTCACAGCTCACAGAAACCTCAAACTCTTGGACTTAAGTGATTCTCTTGCCTCAGCCTTCTAAGTAGCTGGGCCTATAGGTGCCCACCACAATGTCCAGCTATATTTCATTAAATGATAATCCTGTGAGGTTCCCATTTTACAGATGAGCAAATAATGTAAGGCTCAGAGAAGTTGAGAGATTTTCTCAAGTTGCATAGCTATTAACAGATTGTATGTGCTTGTTAACTGCCTCCTCCTTTCTATAGAAAGGGTCTTACACAAAAGCTAAATATAAAAATATTATAAATACTTAAAAGTAGAGCAGTTCTGACCGATGTGGGGGGAGAGTGCCCTGCTGAGAAGCCTCCCCCTAACACATAAGCTGGCTTCCACGGCCCTTCAAGGAGGCTCTGGGGCTTACCAAGCACAGTTTGAAAGCCAAAGTTTAGGGTGGTGCCTGTGGCTCAGTGGGTAGGGTGCTGGCCCCATATACGGAGGGTGGCAGGTTCAAACCTGGCCCCTGCCAAACTGCAACAAAAAAACAGCTGGACATAGTGGCGGGCACCTGTCATCCCAGCTACACAGGAGGCTGAGGCAAGAGAATCACCGAAGCCCAGGAGTTGGAGGTTGCTGTAAGCTGTGTGATGCCATGGCACTCTACAGAGGGCGATAGAGTGAAACTCTGTCTCTACCAAAAAACTCCAAAAACAAAAAACAAAAACAAAGTTTGTCCAATAGAGATAATTTAGTTCCTCCCAATTGTCTGCTATTATCGCTTGTTCTGCTACCCAGGGATTTATGAGGTCTCTGACTAAGGTTATGGAATAGTTTTGACAATTTCAGTATGGGACGGTGATATCCATAATTAAGCACCATAGAACTCTCTGTTAATGTTCTTTTTGATCAAGTGCTTTATTTATAGCAATAAATCATTTTTTAAAAACTATATAAACAATAGGGCGGCACCTGTGGCTCAGTGGGTAGGGTGCCAGCCCCATATACTGAGGGTGGTGGGTTCCAGCCCAGCCCTGGCCAAACAGCAACAAAAAAGTAGCCTGGCGTTATGGCAGGCACTTGTAGTCCCAGCTACTCGGAAGGCTGAGGCAAGACAATTACCTAAGCCCAGGAATTGGAGGTTGCTGTGAGCTGTGATGCCATAGCACTCTACCGAGGGCGATAAAGTGAGACTCTGTCTCAAAAAAAAAACAAACAAAACAAAAAACCCCCAAAACTGTATAAATAATAAAACACCAAAAATATAGCTAAATCTTAAGATCAAGAGTAGGACTTGACATTTTTAGCAAGCCTCTAGTGATTTATTTATTTATTCCATGGGATTATAAAATGCACACTGAAATTTGAGAAACACTGGCATGGAAGTTAAGAATGTGCTTGACCCCTAGAATCAGAGAGATGTTGAATTCTGGCTCTGTTATTTGCTTTGGATAAGACTTTCAAACTTCTTAAGCCTTAGTTTGTGCCTCTGTAAAATGGGACTAATTACAGAACTCTGTAGAGAGTTGTGGTCAAGTCACAGTACCTGGCATACAGCCCAAACTCCGTAAACTTTAGTCATCACTTTCATTTAAATATAAAACTTGTATCCAGTGAGGATAGGAAGTGGTATTTCCCTTGGAGATCTGACGGTAATGGCAGCCTCCCCATCCTTTCTAGACCAACAACAGCCACGCCCTGTACTCTCTGGAGGTGCAGCTACTGCATGTTCTCCTTGGCTTTATCGAGACTACCTCCTCAAGGCTCAGCTTCAGCTGCGTGTATCCCCTGGTGGTGAATGTCAGCCAGACCCAGCCCTACCCGGTGGTCACCTTTCCGTGAGTTCTACCTTGTCAGCTGCTTCTCTGGCTGGGAGAGCCCTGGGAGCCTCCTGAGTTCTCCATCTCTAATCCAGGTGAAATCCAACACTCTCAGGAAGTTGGCCCCCTATGCCCACCCACCAGCCATAAGCACCTCTTAGATGGAAACTCGAAACATTAGTGGAAGAAAAAAGATGCTTCTATGGAGGAATGCATTATGGGATTGCTTATATAAATTACCATAGAGTAAGATGACTGGGGATCTATGAGGTGGTGTGTCACTTTTTAGGGGGACTGAGAGGAAGGATAACAGGTTTGCTCCTCCCCTCCCTTTATGCTCTATGGTTACCAGTGCTCAGTGACCTTGATAAGGTAGAAGGTGGGTGACTGGGGTTTTGTAGTGAGGGTCTTATTCTCGTCCCTCTTTAGATATAGCGTCATCCATGTTCCGGGCACTGGAGACACCATCATTATCCTGGGAATCTTCACAGACCCTCAGCTCTCAGCTCCTCTTGAGAACAGAACAGCTCCTCTTGGCAAGCCCCTCTTTGTGGTCCTCAGGGCCACAAGCAGTGATCCAGACCGATTTGCCCTGGTGGCCAATGAGGTCTTTGCCAGTACCAACATCTCCAGGATGGGTGCTGTTAAGGCCACCTACCACTTTGTGAATGAGAGGTAAGGATCTGTCAGACCCAATAACCTCCTGCCAGTGCCAGACCAGCCCCTTGACTGCAGCTTGTGCTGGGTTCTTTTGTACCCATAAGCACTTGGCACACAAACACTGGGAGAAAGTAAGTGTGGGGTGGATGTTTGTTGAACACTGTTTATCATTTCCATTTTGCAGGTGAGTAAATTAAGGTTCAGGGAGATTAAATCCTGCCCAAGAGTTCACAGCCAATAAATGATATTCATTTCCTTTATTTTTTCTTCGAATGATTAGTGAGAGCCTAAGATGATAAAACTAAACAACAAAAACAAATCAGAGTGCAATACTCTGTTATATATTGGACATGCATTGCATTTAACAGTTAATAATAGCTAACTACTGACAGCATTTACTCCGTACCAGGGACAGTTTGAATCACTTCACATATATAAACTCATTTGAGGCTCACAAAACACTCTATGAGATAGTTATACTATTTTCTTTTTTCTGTCTTTCTTTTTTTTCTTTTGAGGCAGAGTTTCAAGCTGTCACCCTGGGTAGAGTACTATGGTCACAGCTCACAGCAACCTCAAACTCTTGGGCTTAAGTGATTTTCCTGCCTCAGCCTCCCAAGTAGTTGGGACCACAGGCACCCACCTATGATGCCCGGCTGTTTTTGTTGTTTTTGTTGCAGTTGTCATTGTTGTTTTATTTGGCCCAGGCTGGGTTCAAACCCACCAGTATTGGTGCGTGTGGCCGGCGCCCTACCCACTGAGCATCATCCAGTTATACTATTTTCATTCCCATTTTATAGATGGAGAAATTGAGGCTCAGTTTACACAATTGGTAAATGGCAGACCTTACTAAATGTTGGGAACACAGAGATAGAAAATCTAAGTCCTAAGGTGGGGGGCCTCACACCTGTAATCCTAGCACTCTGGGAGGCCAAGGCAGGTGGATTGCCTTAGCTCATGGGTTTAGGACCAGCCTGAGCAAAAACGAGAACCTGTCTCTAAAAAGTAGCCGGACGTAGTGGCAGGTGCCTGTACTCTCAGCTACTTGGAAGGCTGAGGGAAGAGAATTGCTTGAGCCCTAGAGTTTGAGGTTGCTGTGAGCTGTGACACCACAGCGCTCTACCAAGGGTAACAAAGTGAGATTGTCTAAGAGAGAGAGAGAGAAACAAAGAAAGAAAGAGAAAATCTAAGTCCTTATTCTCAACAGTCTAGGGAAGGAGCTGGGTCTCAGGATTTCTAGATCCTATTTTATTTTACTTATTTACTTATGTATGTATTTATTTATTTGAGACAGAGTCTCACTTTGTCACTCACCCTCTGTAGAGTGCTGTGGTGTCATAACTCACAGCAACCTCAGATTCTTGGGCTCAAGCTTCTCTTGCCTTAACCTCCTGAGTAGCTGGGACTACAGGCACCTGTCACAGTGCCCAGCTATTTTTAGAAATGGGTGTCTCACTGTAGCTCAGGCCAGTATTGAACTCATGAGCTCAGGCAATCCACCCACCTGGGCCTCCCAGTGTGCTACGATTACAGGCGTAAGCCACTGCACCCAGCTCCTAGATCATATTTTAATAATAATTACAGGAAATCATTCATTACCTTATTTATTCCTCAAAATAACCCTATAAAGTATTATTTCCCAACTTTACAGATGAAAGAACTAGAGAGGGCTCAAAGAGTTTAGGTGACTTGACCAAGGACACATCAGGGGTCTGTTCATGCTCCAGAGTTCAGGTTCTGAAATACACCACTGTCAAACCTGTCTTTGCGTGTAATTTCTCCTTTGTCAGGAGGAAATAGAACCTAGTAATTAAGGGTATGGGCCTTCACTGAAGCCAGATCGCTACCTTCAGAACATTGGGCAACCTTCTCTGAGCCTCAGTTTCTTCATCTTTTTATTTATTTGTTTATTTTGAGACAGAATCTCAAGATGTCCCTGTGGGTAGAGTGCCATGGCATCACAGCTCACAGCAACCTACAACTCCTGGGCTCAAGCGAGTCTCCTGCCTCCGCCTCCCAAGTAGCTGGGACCACAGGCGCCCACCACTGGCTATTTTTGGTTGCAACCATCGTTGTTGTTTGGCGGCCGGGGTGGATTCAAACCCACCACCTTAGGTGTATGTGGCTGGCTCCTTGGCCACTTGAGCCACAGGCGCCGAGCCTTTTCATCTTTTTAAAAGGGGCAGAGGGCAGTTGTGTGTACCTCAGCCGGGAAGGACGAGTTGAGGTTGGCAACCCATCAAGGACAGTAACTATCATGGCTTCCAGTGCTTTGGCCAAACCTCAGATGCGTGGCCTCTTGGCCAGGCGCCTGCGGATTCATATTGTTGGAGCATTTGTTGTATCCCTGGGGGTTGCAGTTTTCTATAAGTTTGCTGTGGCTGAACCAAGAAAGAAGGCATATGCAGATTTCTACAGAAATTATGATTCTATGAAAGATTTTGAGGAGATGAGGAAGGCTGGTGTCTTTCAGAGCGTCAAATAATTTTGAAATACAAAGAATTTCTTTGGGCTGATTTACATAGACATCTGTCACTGACCTGTGTTCCTGAGCTATGAATATGAGTGATAAATAAACTATTATTAAATTCTTAAAAACATAAAAATAAAAATAAAAGGGGCGGGGGCGGGGGGCAGGGCTGGTGGCTCACGCCTGTAATCCCAGCACTGTGGGAGGCTGACAAGGGAGAATTGCTGGAGTTCCAGACTTGCCTGAGGGAGAGTGAGACCCTGACTCCTAAAAAACTGCAAAACCCCAGCCCTGCGCTGCGGTGAGTGCCTGTAATACCAGGGGCTTCCGGACATTGTGGCAGTGGGATGCCCATAGCCCGCGTCTGAAGTTGCAGTGAGCTTTGATGCTATTGTACTCCGCTCAGGGCATAGGGTGGGACTCTGTCTCAACAATAACTACAACAACAACAAAAAAAGGGGGAAGGGGCAAAAGTATTGTCTTCTTCACAGGATTGGTGTGATGAAATGAAATAATCCATGTAAAGTTCTCAGCAAGATATCCAGCATCTATTCATGTATGTAGGACAAGTAAAAAGGTGGAACTCATTGTCCATCTACACCGTCTGTCCCATGCCGGGGCTCCTAACCAGTCCAGACACTGCCTTTCCTTACAGTTGCCCAGTCAGCAACCGGCTGCTCCAGGGTCTGCGGGCCAACGGGGACTCTCTGGAGGTGACGCTGGCCTTCAACTTGTTCCGCTTCTTGACCAGCGATACACTTTACCTACATGGCCGCGTAACCCTGTGCGATAAGCGAGCGGGGCAACCTTGCCAACCGGTGAGCAGGCAACCTCGGGGACCCTGAAACAGCCAAGGCCCACCCCACCCAACCGTTTCCCAGTGGCGGGACTCGTGGCAACTTACGAGGCCTGGAAGCTGATTGGCCTATCCTGCCACGGGTGGGGCTTGCAGAAAGACTGGAGGGGCGGGATTTTGAAGACCTAAGCCTGCGGATTGGTGAATTCACTTGGGGGCGGGAAAGGAGGCGGGGACTATCTGGAGTCTGGTGCAAAGTCCCCTACCTGGCCAGCCTTGCTATACGTATGCCTGCGTCTTCCACAGACTTGTCCCAAGAACCCTCCTGGAAGGGAGCAAGCCTGGCAAATCCGAGCGTCAGAGAGCCTGGAGCGCGGCGACAGCTGGGTGGTATTCGGTCCCATCCGAATAAGCGGTAACTGGATCATTGTGGGGCCTCCCTCTTCTTCCAGAGCCTCCCGCTGATGTGCTAAGATTTCCACTCAGTTAACTGAGCCCCCTTCTATCTTTATGATCTCATGCTCCTCACTAAATGCAGATTTCCTCCCCGAAGCCATATCCTTCTTGGTTCTTTCTGCGCTCTAGAGTTTTCCTGCCCTCCCTACATCCTGTTCTCATTCATTAAACTTCGAGTCTGAGCCATTCTCTCCTTTTCTATCACACCAGATCTTTCTTCTCCCCAACTATCCCTTGTGCTGGTCTTTTTTGGGTAAATCTTCTTTGCTAGTCTAGAACAGTCACTCTCTTCTTTCTATTCCATAGTAGTCCTCCAAAGCTCTACACCTCTCTGGAAAGCCTATCTTCTCAGTAAATCCATTCTCTTTAGAGGTAGCGAGTCCATCTTCACATCTTTCTGAGGTCAAAAATGGGACTGGGCCCTTTGCCTAATCTTGATGAAATGATGAGAGATCGCTGGCCTTGTCCTCTCAGGATGGCACCTTGAGCTCAATTTTTCTTCCTATGTGATTTCAGAGTCTAATGCCTCCAGCAGCAGAAGCTCAGCAGGTTGGTACAAAGGGATTGCTATGATGAAGGTCTGAGGTTTACACGAGGGTATAAGAGTGCACACTGGGTCCTGGCATGTACTAGTCTTAGATTCTGTTTCTACTGAACTTTTGTGACCTGGGAGAAGTCAGTCTCTCTGAGTCTCAGCTTCTTAAGTCTCAGCAGTATAGCAGCTGTCATTGTGAGGCTATTGGATTATGAATTATCCCTTATCAAAACCTAAGACTACCCAGAAATTACTGAAAATCAAGATACAGGGCCAAGCAAGTATAAGTGAAGGGCCTTGAGTGGGTCCCACACTAAACTAGAGAGTGCCTTTCATCACTGTTATCCTTATCCTACCCACCCCCAATCTAACTGGCACACAGTCCCAAAAAAGCTTTGTTGAAAGAATAAATGAATGGATTACTAAATAATCTCCCAAAGTGAACTATCTAAGCCTAAAAAGTTTCCCAGGCTTTCAAAGCCACATAATCTTGTTTTGTAATCATTTCTTTCTTTCTGCAGGAACCTGGATAGCCGTGTTTCTCCTGATGTTGATAGGCTGGATACTGGGCTAAGATCTTGCCCTCAACTCTAGTCCTTGGCCTCTAGTTTACTTGCCTGAAGCAAGAGTGGAGTGGAAGAATATTTAGGGAGAGGCAAGTAATCTGTCCTCTTGGCAGGGACCAGAGAGGTTGGGGGTGAAAAGGGGACTGTGTGGCCCAACTATTGTTGGTATGGAGTGTGACTGCTGAATATTTGGCTGTGTTTCCTCATCCCACCTTCTTTTCTCATCTCTGAAACTCTTCAGAGGAATGTTGGGTTGCTCAATATGGTGGGAGATGCAGAGGGTATGGTCAATAAACAGCAGGGAATTCTACTTTGTCTGGCTCCTTTCTGTGTAAACTGACCATAAGGACTCAGTGTTCCAGGTCTCAGGATTGAAGGATTGGGGTAAGAAATGGTATGAGAAATCACTTTACTTTCTATGGTTCACAGTTTCCCCATGCATGAAATGAAAGAGTTTGATCATGTGATTCCTACTTCAACATGGGGACACTATGAGTCTCATTCCAAGAAAAGTTCCTGGGCCCTGGCCAGCAGGCCCTAAGTCTCCTTTCTTTTTTCTATAAGATGGGGAAGAACTATTCAATTTCAGAATGAGAGTAAATGTATCCACATAATATCATCCAAACCTTCCTTCTGTCCTTTAATATTTCTGACCTCATTAGTTCACTCTTTCTAATAGACAATGGATAAAGGCAGCAACATTTATGCTATCATATGTTCGTTAAAAAACAAGTCAGGGCCAGGTGGCTCAAACCTGTAATTTTGAGCACTCTGGGAGGTAGAGGTGGGAGGATCCCTTGAGCTCAGGAGTTCAAAACCAGCCTGCACAAGAGACCCTATCTCTACTAAAAAAAAAAATAGAAAAACATGTGGTGGCACATGCCTGTAGTTTCAGCTACTCAGGAGGCTGAGGCAAGAGGATCATATGAGCCCAAGTGAAGTTCCTGTGAGCTAGGCTGACACCATGGCACTTTAGCCTGGGCAACAGGATGAGACTGTGTCTCAAAAAATAAATAAATAGGCTCAGTGCCTGTGGCTCAAGTGGCTAAGGCGCCAGCCACATACACCTAAGGTGGCGGGTTCAAATCCAGCCCGGGTCCGCCAAACAACAATGATGGCTGCAACCAAAAAATAACCGGGCATTGTGGCGGGCGCCTGTGGGCCCAGCTACTTGGGAGGCTGAGGCAGGAGACTCACTTGAGCCCAGGAGTTGGAGGTTGCTGTGAGCTGTAATGCCACAGCACTCTACCAAGGGGGATAGCTTGGGGCTCTGTCTCCAATAAATAAATAAATAAAACAGGTTGGAATCTATTACGTACCTGTTACTATGTTAGCCCCTGGTGGATTGATTCAACAGCATACAAGAGACAGACTTTGATCTTACAGAGAGGACAACTGAGTGCAGGGAATATGGTATTGTGGTCTAGGAAGCAGAATGAGCTTTATAAGTTGGCAGAGGTGGCATTTACCAGTGAGGTGGAATTTCACAAAGTTACAAGAAGGCCTTGCTCCTTTCCTTTGTTGCTTTGTTTTTGAAATACTGTTTTGTTTTTTTATTGATATCCATGACCATTTTACAAATTAATTTCCTGGGAATAAATGTTGCCACAAGCAACATAATAAAAGTTAAATTTAACAGTCTTTTTTTTTTCTGTCCATTCTAGTGTGTCCTAAAAATGTAACCATCTTAACATTTCATTTGCTGACATTTTATAGTTCTTTAATGCTTTAACAGCTCCTGAAAAAAATTAAGTCAAATGACTAACCCATATTATTTTTTCATGTATATCAAAGTCACACATCTATTAAATCAGCATATAATTAATTACATTTCATTGAAAATTCAAATCAACTTTATAGGTCTGGAGTAGACTGATTAAACAACACTGCTAGCAAAAGCGTTAACCCTTGCCTTTAAAGGAGGTGGGGGCAATATGTGGGTGTATATATATATGGGTGTGTATATGTGTATATATGGGTGTGTATGTATACATATATATACACACCCACATATTGCCCATGTGTATATATATATATATATATATAGAGAGAGAGAGAGAGAGAGAGAGGTGTACCTATATATCCTGAAGGATAAAGGCCAAAATACTGACTGTATTATTTAAATGTCTCACAAAGAGAAGAATGAAACAAAATTAAGTAAACTAGGAAACTATTGAACTTAAACCAAATTAGTTGACCACATTAAAGAAGCCTTGATGCTATGTAACCCTAGATGTTTATAAATGTAATTCACCAGACAACATTAAACGCCTAGGAAAGTGGTAGCTCTAATTATACAATTAAAACTAAGTTGGCTGGCTGAGTGGCTCACGCCTGTAATCCCAGCACTGTGGGAGGCTGAGGCTGGAGGATTGCTTGAGCTCAGGAGTTTGAGGCTTGTCTGAGCAAGAGTGAGGCTCCGATTCATGAAAAAAATTGAAAAACCCCACCAGGCGCTATGGCCAGCACCTGTAATCTCAGTGTTTTCAGAGGCTGAGGCAGCAGGATACCCACAGCCTGAGTCTGGATTGCCATGAGCAACGACGCCATTGTGCTCAGCACTCTATCTCAACAACAACAACAAAAACAACTAAGTTGGCTAGGAGAGGTGGCTCATTCTTGTAATCCTATAACACTCTGGGAGGCCAAAACAGGTGGATTGCCTGAGCTCAGGAGTTCGAGACCAGCCTGAGCCAAAGCAAGACTTTGTCTCTTAAAAAAAAAAAAATAGCTGGGCGTTGTGGTGGGCACTTATAGTGCAAGCTACTGGAACAGCTAAGGCAAGAAGGTACTTGAGCAGAAGAGTTTGAGCTGTGAGCTATGGGGCCATGATACTATACCGAGGATAACAAAGTAAGATTCTGTCTGAAAAAAAAACAAAGACAAAAAACTAGGTTGCAGTTAATTTTCCATTTTCTTTGATTAAATTGAAGTGGATCATAGTTGGCCAAATCCAGTCCTTTTTCAAGGAGTAAATAATACAGTCAGTATCATCAAGTAATAGTTCCCTTGACATGTTTTATTAAAATGTACGAATGAAGCAAATCTTTTGAAAATGATAAAGTAACTGAAATTTTAGGAATATTTCATACCTAAAGATTGATTGGGTTTTTAAAATTTGTATTTATTTATTTGAGATAGAATCTCACTCTGTCACCTGCGTAGAGTACCATGGTGTCATAGCTCACAGCAACTTCAAATTCTTGGGCTCAAGCAATTCTGTTTCTCCAGCCTACTAAGTGACTGGGCCACCAGGCTCAGCTAGTTTAAATTTCTGTGTTTTTTTTTTTTTTTCAGTAGAGATGGGGTCTCATTCTTACTCAGACTGGTCTCTAATTTGTGATCTTTTTTTGAGATAGAGCCTCAAGCTATCCCCCTGGGTAGAGTGTCGTGGCATCACAGCTCACAGCAATCTCCAACCCCTGGGCTCAAGCGAGTCTCCTGCCTCTGCCTCCCAAGTAGCTGGGACCACAGGCG